CCTGAATGAAATTTTGAAGCAACATAGGCGACACCTTTAGATTGGTGGGGTGGGCTCCTGCTGCGTGGTAGGTAAGATGTGGTGACATGCTGTGGAATGAATGATACTTTAAAGTCTTATTTTCTTGTACAGTGATTTAATTGCCAATGGTAATGACGCTTCTTATGTTTGAAAGTTGTGCTAAATAACCAATACTGACATTTCTCATATTTGATCTGGTGGCAAAGTGAGTCTTTACTCTGGAGGGAAGTACCAAAGAAAATTTGTACTAAATATATTTTAAAAGACAGGGGCCAGTGAGATAGCTCAGTGGACTAAAGGGCCTGCTTAGGCAAGTTTAGGCAAGTGCAGGGACCACAGCTTGATCCCTGGAACAACATACTGTGCCAGCCCCGCCCCCGAGGCAGGCTGAGCAGGCCACAGAGTCCAGACGTGGTGGCACACACCTGTAATCCCAGTGCTAGGGAGGCTGAGAACAGGAGGATCACTATGAGTCTGAGCAGCATATGAGACCTTGTAAAAACCAAATACATTAAAAAATAAATGAAAAAAATTAGAAAAACAAAAACTACTTTATTCAACACTATTGTATTAGCCATGAAAGCTATGAAAATAGGGAAGAGAAATGGGACTCAATAACTTTGATGTAAGAGGCTGAGAGGGATCAACACCTGCGTGGAGTGGTGCGGGGGAAGATGTGGACACTTAGAGGACTGTAGACCGTGTGACTAGGTCATCCTTGTTTGCTGGCATTGGTTAGTGGGTGCCAAGGCTAGGGGAAAGGGTACATCCTGTGCCTGCTCTCTGTATAGAGTGAGGCAAGGGTACTGTCTGCTGTCTTTCTTGGAGATGTGTTTCAAAACAACCACCCCAGCTCCCCGAGAATGATATTCCTTGGTTATAGAGGATTACTTCTGAAAGGAAAATGTGAAGGTGATTAAAGAGACATAGAAGGCCCTAGGTTGAAAATGGACAAGGGCTGGGGCTATAGCTCAATGGGAAGGTCCTAGGTTCAGTTCCCAGTGCAGCCCCCGCAACAACATTACACATTTTATGAAGTAAATTCTTTAAGAAAAATGAGGTTAGAGTCAGACAAAAACTTAATTAGACTGAGGTAAATATAAAGGACATCTTGGCATATTAAGGAAATTTTGTCATATCCAAGCAGCACTTGGGTGCTGGTGTGAAAGGTATGTGGGTCATGAATTACTTTTAGGACAAAAAGGATATGTATGGTAAACCAAGGGGCAGTGACTTCTATTTTATGTCTGGATCTCAGATTCTTATGTATTTTTTTTTCTCTTATCGGAGAAAAATTATGCCCCCTGGAAGGCCTTCCTCAGGCATCCTTTTAATGTGGAATTGAATGCTGTGTGATTTTACAAGTCCCATTTAACTTTCCATTTTCACTTAGGAAATTCAGTAGCCTTTCTGGCTTTTTTGTGCCATTAATTAGGGTAACCGAGGGTGACTCTCAGTGTATTTGAGCCGGTTGTGCATATATGATATTCTCAATTTCACTTCCAAAAAGGTCCGGGAGATAGCTCAGTAGAATAAGCACTTGCCTGTCAAGTACAAGGTCCTGAGTTCAATCCCCAGTACTGCATTAAATAAATACATACATGCATACATACATACATACATACATACATAAATGCATGTATGTATGTTATCACGATACTGGATTCTTTGGGCTGGAGAGATAGCTCAGTAGAATAAGTGCTTGCCTGGTAAGTGCAAGGTCCTGAGTTCAATGCCCAGTACTGCATAAAATAAATAAATAAATACATAAATAAATAAAAAAATTCACTTCCATTCAAGTACAACGTACTACATATAATAATCATTTTAATTGTACAGAACTTGGGTGTAACTCAGACCACGGTAAAAGCAGTAGAAAGCTCACAAGTGTATGATGGTTTATTATTTTTTTAATCGTTTTTTTAAAGAATACAAAATAGTGAGAGAAAAAATAAACAACATTGGAAACAACATTTCACTAGACAAAGTATTTGGAACTTAACAATTGTTGTTGTATTACATGGTGCTGACTTCAAATTAGTTGTTCAGATTACCAGATATAAACATACAGGATTCATTAAAAAAACAAACAAACAAACAAACAATAACAGGCCAGGGAGATGGCTCAGTAGAATAAGCACTTGTCTGGCAAGCGCAAAGGCCTGAGTTCAATCCCCAGTTCCACTAAAAAAAAAAAAAGACATTAGAAGAAGTTCATGCAGAATAGTTTCGATAATTATATTGTCAATTTCTGCTGATCTTTTGAAAAGAGTAGTTAATGCTTAAAATTTTTTTCCTCTATTTTTTTTCTACTTTTAAATTTCTTTTTTCTTTTATGTATTTAGTACAGAGTGTACAGGTTCTCACTACATAGATCAGACTCATAGAGATTCTCCTGTTTGCAGCTTCCCAAGCACTAGGCTTACGGGCGTGCCACACCACACCGTCTCAGCCGCTGTCTCAGCATGCTCCCTGGGAGGGTGGTGGGACATGGCACACCAGGGATAGAATAGCTGCGATGCTCTGCCTAAGCAGGCGATTTAGTCTGCTGAGCTATCTGGCCAGCCCTTGAATTTCTCCAATCACTTTTGAATACATAATCTTATATCATCCCAATAGGCACGAGGCTAGAGTTTACTTTACAGCTCTTTTCCTAAAAATGTTGAGACTTGACTTGTGATCTGTACCTGCTAGTTTAATGTCTAGTTAAAAAATATCTAAATAATATTTTCCAATCTAGATAGTTAGCTTGAGTTTGAAAATCACTAGGATTTCCTTTTTAAAGTGATAAACAAGGATAGAAAATATTTATTTCCAAGGAAACCGAGCAAAAGGAATACACATTTGGGATGAAGGAAAAGAGAAAAGGAAGGAAAGAAAGGGAAAAATCACACACACACACACACACACACACACACACACACACACACAATAGCTAAGATGATTGTACTACTAATTTCTATTGGTTTCTTGAAGGTAGCAGTAAATGCTTAAAATTTTCACTTTGATGAATTTTATGTGCTTATATCTGATAATATAAGCAACTACACTGAAAGTTTTTGAAATTGTATATCATTTCTAATGTCTTATCTATTATCTTTCTGTTCTCTTTAATATAAAAAAATAGCCCTTTCACATTTGAAATCCCTATTAGGAAGGCCTTGTAATTATTGAACCCCATCAATTACTTTGGTTCTCTGACTATCAGCATTGGAACTCATGTTAAGGACTTATGATTTGAACTACAAAAAGGTATTTGCATTATGAAGCAAGACTAGCAAAATCTAATTTTGTATACTTCTAGAATGGAAACTCAGAAATAGCCTATGAGATTTTGTTTGTTTGCTTGATTTTTGGTTTTTTTGAGGAACAAGGGTTTGGACTCAGACCCTTGCGCTTGCCAGGGAAGTGCTTATTCCACTGAGCCATCTCCCCAGCCCTTATGAGATTGGTAATAAGGAATAATTTCTGGAAAATCTGCATAAGCTTTTTGTTTTCTTTGAGAAACTTCCTGTGAGTATAAAATACTTTAGTAAATATTTATGTGTTGATGTCCATCGAAAAAGAAGCTGTGAGAACCACAGTAGATGTGGATTTAAAATATAATGGTTGAAATTTTCATCCTGAAATGGCCATCCAAAACGTTGTCATAAAAATAGCCTTAGCCTGATGACTTACCTTTGAAATATATTTCCTGCCACCAGGCAACCCTGCCCAGCCCACTTCTCTCCACTACATGAACCCTTACCAGCTGAATGCTTACGGCATGGCGCTAAAAGCTGTGGGAGAGATTGTCCAAGATTACGACAGTGATAAGATGTTCCCAGCTCTGGGATTTGGTGCCAAACTGCCTCCAGATGGAAGGATATCTCATGAATTTGCTTTGGTAAGGCTACGGCAAAAAGATGTGATATTTCAAAAACTGTTGTGTATTTTAATATTAACTTTTTGCTTCTTCTTTACCCTTTTATGTAGCAAAGCTTGATGACCTTGGACTCAGCTCACTTTTAATAATTATCCATAAATCCAGCTGAAATACATGCGATTTATAAATATGTCATCTCTTCTGGTTATCTATTGCTGTGTAAAAAATGTCCCTACAATTTAGAGGCAGAAAAACCACATCATTTCATTTGCTTATGATTTGTGGGCCAGGAGTTGGAGCAGCATCTGATGGCAGCAGGACATTTCTTCTTTGCAGCATCTGGGCCCTCCACGGTGGACTTCGAGCCGTGAGAGGTGGCGGGAATTGTTTGCCTAGGGTCCTAGCTCAGTTTTCTCCACATCGTGGAGCTAGCCTTTTCCCCGAAGCTGGCAACTTCCTGTCTAGCTCCTGACCTGGGGTAGCTGACATGATTGGAGCAACCTGGACATCTCTCTTGTCCTGTGCTTCTGTCTATATGATCATCCGTCTATATGATCATCCCGGGCGTCATCCTGGAAAGCAGGGCTTGGCAGTGTCTGACTTACACATGGCAGCCAGCTTTCCTGGGCCGACTATGTTAAAGTCTCAGACACACGCCCCCGGCTCTTTCAGCACAGGCGTGGGAGTACCCAAATGTCACACTTCTGCCACATTCCATTGGCTGAGTAAGTTGAAAAGGCCAGCCTAAGTTGAAGGTATGGCAATTTCTTTTTCTCTCTTGGTGGAAGGAATTTTTATTTTATTGTATTTTTTCAGAGTTTTCTTTCAGTTTATTTTATACATGCATACTTCACAGGTTTTTTTTTTTTAAAGTCTATATACTTCACAAGACAGTACAAACTAGCTACAATCTGCTAGCCACACATTGGGGCATTAACATAACCCATAATTTTTGCCCTAAAATAGGCAACATTCTGAGATTTCCTCAGCGCCTGTTAGTGCGGCTCAGGTGCCTCCTCATGAAACTTCTGCTTTCAGAACTGGGCCCACAAGCCCAAGCTCTATCTTGTTTGCTTCAGTTTTAGGTTCAACTCTAAGATGATACTCTGAAGTTTCACTTTTTCATCTTCATGTCTGCTTCAGTGGCACAGCTGTGTCCCCTGGTTCCCCTATCCTTCTCAGAAGCATCCTGCTTTCGGGTAGAATCTCTCTCTCAGGGACTTTTAGCACTGGTCCCGCACTCAGATGTTTGCATAATCCACTGTGTGGCCAAGAATTGCTGTATCGGTGCCAAGATATCTCGCTGCGTCTCTGCCACCATGCGATAGACATCATGGGCAGACCTACGGCATTCTGGGACATCAGCATAATGTCACGCTGAAATGCAGCAGCACTGCGAATCAGCCCATTTTCAGTGTTTTTCTTAGTAGTTGACAAATCCATAGGTCTCTGCACAGTGCTGTGGCAACCAGGTGCCACATCATCTGTAACAGCCTGCAGAGAGACACTGGCATGTCTGTGATTAGCTGCAGCCCTCCAGACAAGCATGAGGGTTTTCCTCCATATTTTCTGGGCCTGAATGGCTTCTTGAACCTCACTGCAGACAGAGAATTGTGACGAAGCAGGGCTGCTAGGGATACAGTCTGCCGGTGTGTGTGCCTGCAGTGCAGCATTGTGTGCGCTAAAGCCATCATCACTGGGCTCAAGGGGGTTCGTTATCCATTTCTGACAAGTAGCTTGGCTTGATCTCCCTTAGGTTCTTCTAGACTGGCTGCGTCACTCCATCTTCCTCCTCATCCTCACCCAGGGCATCGTTTATCTGGCTTCCAAAAATAGTCCCTGATTGTTCTTTCAATGAGTCTGAAGTTCTTTCACACTTGTGCTGCATCTCTCCCGCTAAAGGAGCTTCGGTAAGATTGGAGTTGAGTGATGGAGACAGCGTGTTTGCAGGGGATGCCTCTGTCTTCACAGATGTGAGTGGCGTCTTAGCAGTTTTCCCCCTGAAACCATTTGCTTCAGCACTCTCCAGTTGCAGCACTTCTGGGCTCCTCATCTAAGTCTTGATTCCTGAGTTCTGGTGGCTCCATACTTGTGGCTGGAACAACTCCAGGTACTGTCTCAGCCCCTGAAATGCCAGGGTCTGGTTCTATAGATTCCACCCTGATCTCAACACCAGACTCCCTGATGTCTGCCAAATCATGGCTTCCCATTTTCTGTTTCTTTGAAGTCCAACCTCTCTTACTGACTGTCGTCTCTGGTGTAGGGAGAGGTACTGGCTTGTCCCGCTCCTGCTGGATTGGGTGCTCCCAGGGCCAGGCAGGGATTGGGGGTCATCATCATCCTCTTCCCAGAATGACAGTGCTGCTTAACGCCTGCCACATCCAACACTTCAGGATGATCATCTGCCTTATCTTCAATGATGGCAATGTTGTCTCCAACAGTCTCAAAGTTCAGTCTTCACTTGAGCAAGACACAGCAATATCATCTTCTCAGCCAGATCTAAGGCTTCCTTCTCATCTATGCTGGGAGCTTTGATCCCCCAGAGGTCTCTGCTACCCCTGATCGGAAACACTCTTTGATAGAATTAAGAATCATGGAGATTTCACTGCTATCCATGGACACAGTCACGCTATGTGGATCTCCCACAGCTTCTGTAGGAGCACAGGTGTCAGGCCGGCTCACTGAGGCAGCAGGGCAGGCTGCAACAGTGGGGTGATTGCTGTATCTCCTCACCCCGGAATCATGGGAAGGACCCCACCTACCTCCAGAAGGACACCTGTACTGTTCAAGTGGCTGGAAGCCACAGCCATTTCACTTTCACTGACCCCAGAGGCAGCCTCTTCCATAGCAGTTGCAGGTCCCCAAGGGGACATTCACCTCCTGGGGAGGCAGAATCTGTTGGAGAGCAGACCATCACAGTGGGCAACCTCTGAGGGGGTGTTTTCATTGCCTGACGAGCTTGTACGCAGCATCTGTGGCCTTCCTCTTTACTTCAGCCTCCTCTTCTCCTAATTTCTTTTTCATTGTAGTGTCACTGCAAAGCTCATCCAGTCTGCTGTCCATGTGTCTGCTTGAATTAGTTCTGCATCTCTTCAAACGTCTGTAGCTCTCCTGGGTTTCCTTTATCAGTTTCTTTAGTTCCTCAATTCTCTCAGCAGTCAGTTCCTGAACAATAACATCTTCAACAGTTTCCACCACTTCTCCTTTTTCACCGCGTTTCCGTTTTGGGGTCTCAGTGGTCTCCAAGAGCTCTGAGTACTGAGAAGCACAGTGTTTATGAGAGAACCAGTTTGGAGGGCGGCCGGGTTCTCCAAACGGCTTAATTGCTCTGCTAACTGTTACCCAATTTTGATCTCCACTTCTCATGACAGAGGAGGCCAAACACAGTTTCTCTAGGATGGACCATGGCTCTGTGGGGCCAGTACTCAGCAGCTTGTGTTTGCCTGTTCCTGTAGCCATCTTGGCCCCAGAAGGAATATTTGAAGAGTATATGGACTCTTATTAATCTTCTTTCTCAATATCTAAGAAGAAGGATGATAGTTTTAAACTAAATTTGGTTTATTAATTTTCTTTCCTTACCTTTCTTCACACTTTGTACGTGTTTTGCCTTTCTCTTCTACATCTTCCTGTCATTACCTCAGCCTGCTCTTTAACCACTTGTGGGTTGGAGATTGCTGTGGTTTTAATCCAGAATTCTAGGATTGCCCATGTGAGAGCGTTAAGAAACAGGGCCTGTAGGCAGTGGCTAGGCTCCAGAGCCCCTCCCTCAGAAATGGGATCATGGCTCTTCTCAAAGAGATTTTTTTTTTTTTTTGGGGGGGGGAGGGCATGACTGGGAATCAACCTCAGGACCTTGTGCTTGTCAGGGAGGTATTGTGCTGCTGAGCTATATCCCCAGCCCAAAGAGACTTCACATAGTGCTTGGTCCCTTGTCCCCTCTGCTGTAAGGGGACACAGCCATCTTCCTACCTGGAGATTCAGCCTCACCAGACAGCAGAATCTGCTGGAGTCACACTTGAATTGTTTATAAATTGTCCGTTCTCAGGCGTGCTCTTCTAACAGCACAGCGTATGTAAAGAGACAAGTCATTTTAAATCTGTTGGAAAGGTCTCCCGGCCTGATGATAGAAATAGCAGTTATATCAGGGATGTTGCTAATTTATCAGTTATTTTTATCTTTTTCCCCAGTTACTTTTGTTTTCTTGGTTAAGACAGGTCGTGGTTAAGTGGCGTTGAATGAGACAGCATTAGGCACACAATAGTTACTGAGGATTGAGACACATTATTTTATATGATCTGCACAAGGTTTCTGTATGGCAGATATACTATGGTGGACATATTCAACCACTGCTATTGTCTATGATGGCAAGATTGCTTCTAGGACTTACATAACTTAATTCCAAAGCTCCAGAATTGACTAGGCCTCCAGGAGGTAGGACTTGAACCCAAATCAGACTTAGTTTTGGGTATATGCTCTTAACCAATATTTATTAAACTGTATCTTATAAAAGCAGGAATAATCCTTCCATTCAAATACATACTTTACACACACACACACACACACACACACACAGAAGCTTTTATATGAATACATTTTATCTTTCTCAAATATATTTTAGGAGTGTTTTATATCTTTCTTCTTATACTTATTCTTACTGTCCTGGTCCATCACCCACATAATTTCAGGAAAGCTTGCCAGAGGGCCTAATTTTTTCTTCCATAAAATAGCCCACTTGTCACTCCCAATGTCATATAAAATTGAGTATCTGTTGGGATTTTGTTGTGTCTTAAGGAATTAAAATCTCCCAGAAACTTACAAAAGCATGAAAATCACTGATGTGACTCTCTGTCTTAAGTGCCTCAGGAAAAAGGTCAGGAGCTATTTTAATGCCTAGAAAAGAAATAACTGTGTTAAGCTAAATGAGGCTTATTAATTTTCCTTCCGCACATTGCTTCTCACCCTTGTGTATAATTTTTTTCTTTTCCCTCTCTCTCTCTACTTTTTCCTTCCCTGATTTTTTTCCACCTCCACACTCATTCCTGGAGGCCAACCCTCTAATAGATGTACTGCTGAGGAAGGCTGTATTATTTGCACCTCAGCTGTTCTTCAAACCCAATTCAACACCCATGAGTCTATGAAAAAGAGTCTCACAAATCAGTGAGGAGAGCAATGGCTAAGTTAATCACAAGAAGAATGCCTCAGTTCAACCAGGCATAGTAGTGTGGGCCTACAC